TGTAAATTTTTCTGAGAAATACGTAGATGCTTTAAGTTCTGAGAATTTGGTGATTGCATCGACTTTAGAATTGACAAGAGTATAAAAGCACAGTTTTACAATAAAAAAAATACTAAAGATACCTATTCATAGTAGGATTACCGACATCGATCCTTAAATCAATCTTAAATTAAACTGAGAGAGAGAGAGAGAAAGGAGAAGGAGGAGGAGGAGGAGGCACGGTGAAGTAGTGGATAGCGGCTCGGATTGAGGAATCGGAGAGCCGAGTTCGAATTCCAGTCGAATCCATTACATTCACATACGTGCTAATACCCTTGGAAAACGTATGAAACCTCTTTTTCTTCCTACAGCTATGGGTAAATAGCAGGACAGACTGGGTTCTATAGCCTTGGATGACTCTGAATTCAAAAACCTGCGGAGGGTCGTTTGCGGACCTTGTGGCACGTAGTATTCGGCCTTTCAAAAAGTGTGGTTCGTTCTGCACAAAACTTTCACCACTATAATTAAATCATATCTGCTGGAACGGAACTGCTTGACACTCATACGTCGAATTCAATGGGAGAGTTCATATAGATATACTCGTTTTTGTTGTTGTTGTTGTTGTTTTTTTGTTTTTGTTTGTCTGTGTGTGTGTGTGTGTGTGTGTGTGTGTGTGTGTGTGTGTGTGTGTGTGTGTGTGTGTTTAGTTAAATAAAATATTATGAGAGACAGACATGAGTTTCGGGCAATATTAGTCGTGTATTTGTTTCACGAATTTAACTATATTTTATTTAAATTAATTTCGAAAAAATAAGGCTCGCTATAAGTTTTTGCTTTAATAAAACTTAATTTAAAATTATTTACTTTTTCATTTTAGTAACAAACGCAAAAAAATAATGAAGTTTATTTATTAAAGATTGAATAAAAATTATTTTCCAGAACATAAATAAATTATTTTCCATATCATAGTTTTCAGGTGGAGCGGAGCCCCTTGCAGCGATCCGAACTAATTCAAGATATTTTGTTTGAAATTTGTTTTTGTAAATAAAAAAGAATAGATGTTAACTTTCGTTTTTAAAATCTGCAATAATGAATGAATAATAAAAAACTTAAAATAATTGCACAGAAACAAAATACGGAAATAAATTCAACAGAATAGAAAATTTAAAAATACATATATTGTTTCGAAATTATCAGCAGAATTAAAAAGTAAAAACGAACAGGAATAATAATTATTCTCATTCGTTTTTACTTTTTAATTCTGATAATTTCTAAACGTTTACATAAATGGATTCTAATGAAATTATTACGCATTTTTAATTTTATATTATTTTCGCAAATACTAATCTTACGATGATATTTTGTTTACAAAAAGGTGGATCGCATGATTATATATATATATATATTTATTTTTTTATTAATTATTGTATATTATAGTTCGGAGCGTATCTTGTGGAATTTGGTAATAGCTTGAGAAAAAAATAAATTGAAAAAATACAGGGTGCCTATAAAGTTCGTGTGCACTTTAAAAAAATTATAACTTTATTTGTATTTGCGATATAAATAATTTGTAAAAAGGATTAAGGATTAGAAAAAATAAATCTATTTTTTAAGGTTCAATTGAAATTCTATTTAAGTTTTCACATGTCCTCCATCATTAGCAATACAAAGGGTAATACGATTTTGCAGTTCACGGAAAACATTTGCCAACTGATTTACAATAATGCCTGAAATCACATTAGTTATTTTAGATATACTTAAAACTAGGTACATTAAACTTTGTAACATTTTTTACAGATTATTTCTATCGCAAATACAAATAAAGTTATAGTTTTTTGAAAGAAAACAAATATATATATATATATATATATATATATATATATATATATATATATATATATATATATATATATATATGCAAATGTCCATAAAATTCGTGTGCAGTTTAAAAAATTATAACTTTATTTGTATTTGCGATAGAAATCATTTGTAAAAAAGATTAAGGATTAGAAAAAAGTAAATCTAAATTTTTAAGGTTTTATTGAAATTCTATTTAAGTTTTCACATGGCCTCCATCATTAGCAATACAAAGAGTAATACGATTTTGCAGTTCACGGAAAACATTTGCCAACTGATTTACAGTAATGCCTGAAATCACATTAGTTATTTTAGCTATACTTAAACCTAGGTACATTAAATTTCTATCGCAAATACAAATAAAGTTATAATATTTTAAAGTGCACACGAACATTACGGACATTCTGTATATATATATATATATATATATATATATATATATATATATCTGTGGATAGGTTGCTCTTAGTTGGGCGACCAGTAAGCAGACTCTGAAATTATAGAATAAATCTACGGATTCTCAAAGATCACACAGACCTTCCAAAGTTTACGCAAAAAATATTGACTTTGGGAACTTTTGCAGTAAATATAATTTTGGTTTTAAATATGCAAAGGAGGTATTACTCTCCTGCAGTGGGGGGGGGAATGAGAGTCTAAAGCTGTTCGGGCTCTAGATCGTGATATGTGATAATGTAATTGAAGCAATAAGGCCAGTCATCATTAAGGTCTAAAAGGAAAACAAACAGTATTGAATCATTTATGTAGCAGTGCCAGAAGACGTAAAGATCCCTGAGAAAGAAAAAGAGAAAAGGTATCAACATTTGAAACATGTGAGGGAGGAAGAAATGTTTTGCCTTTGGAATCGTGACAGAGAAACTCTGAAAATGGTCTGTCAGTAGAACAGAGATACTTCAAAATCAGTATTGCTTCGCAAAGTCAGCATTCTGAGAAATATTTTGTTGATTTAAAGAAGGGAAGAAATGGCACGACCCCTGATCATTTGTCATAAGCCTCTCTCGATCGTTACATTACGTCATAAGATTTGCTTAATAATAATAATAACGTGGATTATCATGGCTCTCCACAACTTCCTATTCTTTGTCGATCTTAGTATATATGAATTTCTGAGATGAAAAGCGGTATTAGTAGTCGTAGTAGTAGTAATAGTAACAATAATAACGTGGATGACCATGGCTCTCCACAATTTCCTATTCTTTGTCGATCTTAGTAACTCTGAATTTCTGAGATGAAAAGCGGTATTAGTAGCCGTAGTAGTAGTAATAGTAACAATAATAACGTGGATGACCATGGCTCTCCACAATTTCCTATTCTTTGTCGATCTTAGTAACTCTGAATTTCTGAGATGAAGAGCGGTATTAGTAGTCGTAGTAGTAGTAATAGTAACAATAATAACGTGGATGACCATGGCTCTCCACAATTTCCTATTCTTTGTCGATCTTAGTAACTCTGAATTTCTGAGATGAAGAGCGGTATTAGTAGTCGTAGTAGTAGTAATAGTAACAATAATAACGTGGATGACCATGGCTCTCCACAATTTCCTATTCTTTGTCGATCTTAGTAACTCTGAATTTCTGAGATGAAGAGCGGTATTAGTAGTCGTAGTAGTAGTAATAGTAACAATAATAACGTGGATGATCATGGCTCTTCACAACTTCCTATCATTTGCAGCTCTTGATAAGTCTGAAATTCAAGATGAAGAGAGATATTAGTAATCATAGTAATAATAATAATAGCGTGGATGAACATGGCTTTCCACAACTTCCTCCCCTTTGTAGCTCATAGCAAATCTGAATTTTGTAGATAAAGCGGGTTAATAGTAGTCGTAGCAGTAATAATAATAACGTCGTTGATCATGACACTCCACAACTTCCTATTCTTTTTAGCTCATAGCAAATCTGAATTTCTGAGATGAGAAGGGGCCTTAGTAGTAGTAATAATAATAAAAGTAATAACGTGGATGATCATGGCTCTCCACAATATCCTCTCCTTTGGCGCGTTTAGTAAGTATGGATTTCTGACATGAAGAGCGTTATTAGTAGTAATTGTTATAATAATAATAACTTGATGATCATAACTCTCCACAACTTCCTTTGTAGTTCTTAGTAAATCTGAATTTCTCAGATGAAGAGAGATATTAGTAGTCGTGGTAAGAATAATATTAACGTTGACGATCATGGCTCTCTACAACTTCCTATCATTTGTTGCCCATAGTAAATCTGAATTTATGAGATGATGTAGTAGTAGTAATGATAATAATTATCATTATGTGGATGATTATGGTTCTCCACAACTTCCTATCGTTTGTTTAAAGTATTATGCATATTTCAATTACTTCATACAAAAATTCATATTCCCCGGTTCACTCTCCTTCCCATGTATTGAACTGGAGTAGAGGTTTATTTCTTGTTTCCCGCTAATAGTCGAAATATTCGAAATGTGACACATGATTTGAGCAAGTTCTTTTACAAATTACCACAACTTATTCGACATTTGCCTATCGTCCGGTTCACACTTCTTCCTGGTCTTTTGAACAGGAATAGAGGTTTATGCCTTGTTTCCTGTTTAGGGTTGGGTTTCTGGTTGCTTCTAAATTCTTCTCATTCTCTTTCACTCCCAGTAATCTCTTGCGTCTTAGTGGCATTATCACCTTGCTTGGCGAAATATGATTGCAAAAAAAAAAAAAATGAAAAAGAAAAAGAAAACGGGTGCTGGGAATGTCAGCAATACATCCAAGTAACTGTACCAGAAACAATGATCTCTTGATGAACCCTCTTGAGGTTTCTGGTTGAAATTTGGAAGCTACTTGTAAAACAAACAAGCACTTATTCAAAACGCTTACTAGTAGTAGAAGTAGTACTATTAGTACTATTACTACTACTACTACTAATAATAATAATACACCAGGAATTAGGAGATACTTTGGTTATAACGCTTCTTTCAAAATGAATAAATCAATTAGCGTGTGCCTCATGTTAGGTCGACTTATACACGAGAACGTCACTTTATAGCTGTATCGCATGACGGTAAAACATCCTTAAAGCAGTGCAAATATTGTGTCCGAGGAAACGTCCTCTTGAATTGCCGCCTTACTGAACCCATAAATCATTGACGCACTTCAACTCCTTTTAGAAGACAGCTCTCACGACGGACATCAGTTACCGACCATAAATAACAATTCCTTCTTTTCCCGCGCGCGTACAGAAAGAAAGAAAGAAAGAAAGATAGAAAGAAAGAAAGAGAGAAAGAAAAGAAAAGAAAATGGTTGGAAGCAGACAATTCCTTCGCCATATCAGAATTATCTATTCAGACGCCAATAGCTGCGAGAAGGTATAATTCCTGGCACTGTAAGCTCAAAGGATTTAGTCCCTCAAGCCTGAAAGATTAGCTAGATAACCAAAATTGCACGATCACCACGTTAGAGATAATCTTGCCAAAGGTGGACTCGTTTTCAGACAGAAAATTATACGCTTCTGAAAAAGCTCCAATGTTTTCAGTAGGGATTCTCAAGTCGACGCCTTAATCCTTACATAATTACTATTTACTTTTGTTCTGAGCTTCACGAATTTATTTGATGAAGAAACTATTACTTTCTGAGAAGCAGTTAATAAAGCCATTGGAAAAAAAATCAGAGAAATACCGAATGAACGTGTATAAACATATAGGCATTTTTTTTTATAACGATGAAGCTATTAGTTCAGTGGATAACGGCGCACTGGTATTATGGAATTAAATTTAATACCATCTTTTGTTAGTCCTGACGATAAACTACATCTGACAGTAAGACATCTGATCAGGAGATTAGAAGTTTTGAGGCGTGTGCAACCACATCTTAATTGCTGTTGTTCCCAGGTGGCAGCACCTGTTAGGGTCCCCGCTGTGGGCAAACAGTGACCCCCCCTCCAAAAAAAACAAAAACAAAACTTAATGAAAGTATAAAAATACATTTTCGTATAAAAGAAATTACCAAAAATACCTATTTATAGTATATTATTTATTTGAAGCTATGAAATTGGGTTCAAAATATTTCGATATTGGCATTAAATAACCCATAGAGATGTTGATATGCCACTAAATAAAAATCAACCGACAAAATCAGTCCCTCTTTTATTTTTTTTTCACACACACACACACACACATATATATATATATATATATATATATATATATATATATATATATATATATATATATATAATTTTTATTATATTAAGAAACAGTCAACTTTAAAGGTTCATGGGCTTATAATTATAATCCTCTAATAATTATAATCCTCTAATAATTATAATCCTATAATAATTATAATTCTATAATAATTATAATCCTATAATAATTATAATTATAATTCCATGTACCCTTAAAGTTGTCTGTTTCTTAATACAATTAATATTTGAGCTGTTTTTCCATTAAGCTCTCTGGATTATATCCTCCTTGGAATTATCCATACGGATTACCAAAAATCTTCATTAATTATATATATATATCCTTGAGAAAAGACTTGAATAAGACTGAATAAGTATCTCCCCGGTTAACGGTTGAATAGTCTTGGGTGTCAACTGGTTTAATAGAATACAAGACTCTAAATTCAAACCAGCCTAGATATGTTTGGTTTGGTTTGGTTTACGGCATATCAACCTCAATGGGTTATTTAATGCCGACAAAATTTTTATTGCTGGTAATATTTTGTTTTGTCAAAATTCTATTTCTGGTAATATTTTTCCTTCAAAAATATATTGTTGGTAATATATATATATTTTTAAATAAATGTATTGCTAGTAATAATTTAAAAAAAAAAAACATTGCTGGTAATAATTTTTTAAAGTATTTCTGGAATAAAACCAATTTTTACACTTTCATGGTGTTTTGACCTTAGTTTCGGTGTTAACTATTTGCCCATAGCTGGGACCCTAACAGGTACTAACACCACCGTGTCAGGACAGACCTGGGAACACCAGCAATTAAGAGGTGGTTCCACGTTACTCAAAACTTCCTTATCAGAGGCCTTGCTGTTGGACGCAGTTTAACTTTTTAACCTGGACGCGGATGTAGTTTATCGTCATACCCAAGACAAAGCCTAGATATGTTTTAGCCCCGCCAAGCTGTCTTGTCCAAGGCACACTACACAGTGGTGCCACTACGGCTCTGGTGCGTTACGAGACTCCTCATCTTGATCGTGGCGAAAATATCCGCCCTTTCGCCATAGCGTAGTATTAGGTTTATCACACTACTTTCTGCACATGCGTACTGTGTGTGTGCGTGCGTGTAATGGAACCTCTATTTAACGGACTAATAGAGGCGAAGGTCGTCCGTTAAAGACGTTTAACTGTTAATTTGAATCATTTTTCCGTGGCCTACAAACACCCAATACAGTACAAAATTATTGTAAATAAATATCAATACAGTATGGTTGTACGTGTATTTTATTTTTAAGTTATTATGTGCCTTTAAATAGAGTTTGAAAATTAAAGCCGGAGTCCGTTGATTCCAGGGCCGTTAATTCGAGATTTTGCTATATATATATATATATATATATATATATATATATATATAAGAATTGGACAAAGTCCGACAATTTATTTATTAAAAGCATTTTATGTTTAACGTTTTTTTATAGATACAAGTATTTAAGTAAATGTTCTGTTTATAATAAACAGTATTAAATAACATTTACCGGCCTGAATGTCCGAGAAATTTTCATAGAAAATATTCGTCCTTTGACAGGATTCGAACCTGCATCCTATACGGAACCGTTAAATGTTATTTAATACTGTTTATTATAAACAGAGCATTTACTTAAATACTTGTATCTATAAAAAGAACGTTAAACATAAAAATGTCTTTAATAAATAAATATATATATATAAGTTTTTCATTATTTATTCAGTATATATATATATATATAAGCTTTTTGTATTCAGTATATATATATATAGGTTTTCAGTATATTTTTTTTGTTCGTGTATACGTTTGTGCGCGTGCGGCCATGCGTCCGTCTCTGCGGATGTGCGTTTGTGCGTACGTCTGCGCGAATGTGCTTGCGTGTAGGGTGATATGGTTATTTATCTTTTTCTTTTTTTCTTTTCATTTTAAACTCCTCTTTACCCTTTTTCTATTTTTTTCTTCTTTCTTTTTTCTTTCGACTGTTGCCGTTTTTGTGTCTAATTGTTCCAATCTCTAGACATGTCACCGATTTTAATTTTGGGGCGTGGCTTTTTTTCCTAGGAATGTTGCACTTCGTTTTTTTACATAAATAACTCATACTGATACTTGAATTATATATATATATATATATATATATATACATATATATATATATATATATATATATATATATATATATATATATATATATATTCCCGTACTTTCCTTTTGGTTACACGCCGCACACACTCATATATGTAATTGTTAAATAGTGTATATGTTTTAAAGTAAGTGTTCGTTTATATAATTAGTTATATTTTATCGTTTATTTAATGTTTCATTTTTATTTAATTGTTAGTAGTTTATTTGTTTTCGCCTTGCTATTATATGTTGGTGTATTAATGATGGCTGAGGGGTTTTTACGTTTCTTTGCGTTTCCGTGTGTGTTTCTGTGTGTCCGAATATATTTATATGTACATGCACATACATGTATAGGTGTGCATATTTAATATATTTTATTTATTTATTAATTAATTAAGTTTATATTATATTTATTTCATTTGTTTATTTATTTAAACTTTATATTATATTTAATTTATTTATATTTACTTGTTTATTTTTAATTAGTGCATAGATGGCAAAGTATTTATTTATATGCCTACATTTACCCATTATTTCAGTTTTCTTGTTTAAGAGCTTATTTTGGTTTTTAACCTAATTATTGCTAATTTTTCTCTAAGAATAATTAATTTTTTTTCTTAGTACTGCATAGGAATACTCTTTTTATAATTTACTATTTAATTTTGGTGAGCATATTGTTTTCTTTTCGACTACATGTATATTTTTATAGGGTTGTATATTTTGTTTCGAATGACGTTTTGTGGTTATAATATCTTTATTGAACAGTTGTTTTTTGTTCTCTGGCGTTTATGTACATGTTTTCGTCTGTATTAATGATCTTAGTTACGGTGGCATTGTATATTATATTATTGGTTAAACATTTGTTGTTAAGTGGGTATATTTCTTTGTTTCTGTCGTTGCATTTAAGTGTCATTTTGCTGCATCTTATTGTTATTGGTGCAATTGTTATACATTTCACCATATATATATGTATCGGAATATATCCCAGGATTTTTACTTTGCTATTCTCCAACTCCTACAGAAGGTGGCGAAGGAAAGCGAGAAGAAAGGACTAAGCATGAGCGACAAGAAGACAGAATGCATGGCTATCAGGTAACAGTCACGAACCCAAAATGAAAATTACAGGTCCGGACACTAAAGTCAAGCAGGTACAGAGATTAAAATATTTGGGACGTCTTCTAACAGAGGATGGAATGTGCGACACTGGAATCCGAAGACGTATTTGGATGGCCAAAGATGATTACCAAAAGATAAGCAGTGTATTAAGTGACAGAAAAACTTCGTCGAAAACAAAGAAAAAAGTATTGAACTGTAACATGATATCGGTCTTGTCTCAGCGAATGCGAGACAATGTCCTTAAAGACGAAGAAGAACCTTGAATCAAAAGAAATATGTTTCTACAGAAAGATGCTGAGGATACCATGGACCGAATATGTGAGCAACAACGAGATTTTGGAGAGAATGGAAACAAAAACGAAACTTATGCTTAACAACAGATAGAAGCAGTTGATATTTCTTGGATACGTATTGAGGAAGGAGAGCTTGGAAAATTTGACACTCACAGGAGGGAGTGAGGAAAAAAGGGACAGAGGAAAGCAAATCGTAACATATTTGATGAATTTGAGTAAATGGATCGTAGAACAGGATTTGGGAAAAATAACAACAAAAACAAAACTTATTAAGAGCTACAAAGGAAAGGTAGATATGGAGGACCATGATCTCCTACGTCCTGAAGGGACACGGCACATAGAAGAAGACTCACATGACAGACTGAGGGAAAGAGGGACAGAGAAAAGCAACTCGTAACATATTTGATTGTAGAACAGGATTTAGAAGAAATAAGAAAAAGACAAAACTTATTAAGAGTTACAAGGAACAGGAAGATATGGAGGGCCATGATCGCCTACGTCCTGAAGAGACACGGCACATAAAAGAAGACTTACACGATAGACTGTGGGAAAGAAAGACATAAGAAAGCATCATGTAACATACTAGATGGGCTTAAGTAA